CCACGTCAGGTAGGGCAAAAATTACACCTATACAAATAAATAATTCAACAATGTATCTTCTTTCATATCATTTTAATGATTATAAAATAATAAATGTTCTTTATCCACACAGTTCTATTATGCAATAAATCTATACCAATGAACTGAAATAGAATTATTGGAGGCAATAAATTGAGAGTAATAACAGAACAAATCGAGTTGCATTGTTGCTGTCTGATATACTGCCACAAGGAACCTCAACAAGACATGTAATCAGTTGGTGTTCTGTCCATGTCATTAGCATTGTGAGCACAGCTGACCCAGAGTACGTCAATCTAACAAAGAAAACAAAGGGTTTTTTTTAGTTTCTCACTAAATTAATTGAAGTACAAAACAAAGTAAATTGGCAATGCCTCGCACTGACATATCCTCCGCTGACCTCAGATGATTAGTGCCTCCACGGGAAATCTAGTGATAGCTTTGCCAAACACGCTGGAGACTCCCCACACTCCTGATATTTACATGTTTTTACCAATTTTACAGTCGATCTTTCAACCCATGAAAATATTCTTTCTCTTGTCTGGGGCGGACGCAGGATTGTGGTGGGGTGCGTGAGAGTCTACATGACCTCAGCCCTACAATTGTTTTGGCTGAGGTGAGAAAACTCTCATGCTTTAAAAATCTTGTGTTAAAATAAAATTTTAACAATACAATGCAACAGTTGTTTTTCTTAATACAATTTAGGGGGTGAGATTGCACTGTTGTCTGCACCCCTTCTGCATTTGCACTAGATTGTGTGAATAAAAACATTCAGCATCTGTATACAGTAATTAATGCTGTGATGTGAAAACTGTTTATAACGCACCTCAAATAGATCTTTCTTATTTGATACTTAGGAAAATTTTAATGATATACCTTTTTTCCATTATCTGTTAACCAATGAAAAGATTGTATTAGATCCAGTTATGCAATGAAATTTATTTCCATTTTACCTGATGAAATGGCGTAAATAACAATGTGACATGGTACCGAATCCATTTAGGTGTGTAATAACATAATACTGTATATATAATGCTCAGAAAACCTGTTTTCCATAAAATCGCTACATGCTATCGCCGACAGGCTTCAGTGCTGGTGATTGCTCGGTTGCATTGGGGACAGCTACGCAGTACAATGATCGTAATAAAAACACTGTAGCGATAGTGTAGTGATTTTAAGAAAACAAGGCTTAATGGACAAATTAAGCCCAATTGTACCTTTGTAGTTTACTATCTGCATTTTTCCATGGTCACCTTGTCTGATTTGTTTCCTCATTGATGAAAAACCTCAATTTATTTGGAAGAATTTTAACATGTACCGGGTATGCATCAAACTGTTCATTATCAATGCTGAAGAAGCTGGCCTATAAAAAAAAATAATAAAAGATTTATTATTGTGAAAGAAAGATGACACTGTTTGGGAACATTGTGCACAATTATGAGGCCATGACAACAGTAGTCGGCAAACTGTCATTACTTTTAGTCAGCCAATGGGATGGATTCCACAAGTAAAGCCCTACCCATATATATTCATCATGACCATTTTTGGCATGTCACATGTGTTTGTCAAATATAATTTGATAATGTGTGGATGGGGCTAAATAGGCAACAGCTTATTGTTAGTATTGCTATGCTAAGTACAGTGCTTACCTCTGGCTCCACTGGTGTCAACTTAAACTCACCAACTTGCAATGTTTCACTTTGGATCTCAGATTTATTGTCTTTTGCCTTAGATACTCTTCTCCAACTATATAAAAAATTCATGTCAGAAAATGGGTCATTGGAGAAAAATGCAGTGATGTATCTAGTGGAGAGGCGCAAGTAGATAAAAATCACCTCATATCACCTTATTTTGCGAGATAGCGTCCCCTTACTTAATCATCAACCCCCAGTTCACTTTCGTGCCCCTCCCCCTCCTCCACTCCACCTCCGATTTCAAGACTCTTAGATAAACCACTTGAAAGATGCTTAAGCAGAGACTAGCTAATTGAACTCTGTAGATTGTGAGGATACTGCCCTTTCAATTCCAAGATTCCTGAATTAAAAATCCTATCAAAAGATACAACTCCTTCAGACTGATTTAAGGACTTGCAAGATTATAAGACATTAGGTCACTTTGGAGAACTGGTTACACTGAATAAACAAACAAAATTTATATCAATAATAATGTTTCATAATAGTTGTACTTTCCTTACCCTTCTTTGATGAAACCTGTTTTTGTGATGTCAGTTGGCAGGGTCTCTATGCTCATGCTTCCAGTAGTCTGTATGAAAAGTACAGTACATAATATTATATCAAAAGCAACTACCAAAACATTACATCTTAGTGCAAGGAGTATAGTAGTAAATATATCCCATATCTCGTCTGTATATGATACGCGACATTCCTATGCACTATCTGTACACAAGCACTGGCTCTTGGCACAGGTGAAGGTTGACTTATTTCACAGGGGTCAAAAGATTACGTAAATGAACCCATCCCCACAGATCTCCCAGAAATGACTTCTTCTGACTTTGGACCCCTGTCTTCATTTTATGTTTATGTTTGTTCACGTTTTTTTACTACCTTTAAAGCATTTTCCACATTATCATTATGTGTTTCAGCAGAGAACTCAAGCGTTGATACATCAACCTCTTTCCAAGGAATCTCCTCAACTTCTTCAATTTCTGGTTCTAAGAAATTCATGGAGAAAAGAAATGTTCTAGTTAATACTTCTAGTACAAGAGCATTTTTCCTTGGTGAGCCTATAGTTTTTTCAATATATCCTCCACAATAAAGAATAATCACAATTTTTTTTTTAATAAGGCTATTTTAAATTCAGTATATTACTATTGTACAATAATAATGTTTTTTTTCTCCACTGGTCACTTTCAAAATACCTTTTTGCTCTGTTCTCCAAATCCAAGAGAATAAGCGACTAAAGAAACTATACTGCTGTTGATTAACCTCTGGTTCTTCAGGAACATCTACAGGTGGACGATATGCAAGATGAGCTTTAAATACAGGTGGCCATTCCTATTTAGAAAATAAATTTTTATCATTGCGTGCTTAAAATTCAATTTCTCAAAACTAAAGTGATTTTAACCACAATTGTAAAAAACTATAAATTGTTATCATAATTCATTGGTTGATTAACCCCTTGATTTTGAGCTTCTTTATTCAATAAACAAGGAAGAAAAACAAAAACCTAAAAATCTACCAGGAAATCATTTCTAACATGAATCATTAAAATCATTGTTGCAATTGTTAAATTTACATCAATAAATTTTATAAATATTATTACTATTATTATTATCAATATATTTACAATTTGTTATAAAATGATTACATTAAAATTGAGTATCAAAGAATAGCTTTCTTACCTGAACAGTTGCAAAAACATATGCAAATTTGGACTTTAGTGGTCCTAAGTACCAATACCTGTAGAAATCAGAAAGTATTTAATTTGGTAAAAAGTATTTAATTTGCTTTGATATTACTGTACAAAATCCCTGACATATCCAAGACAC